AACTGATAGTTCATAAAAATTGATCATTAAAATTTCTAGTACGTCAAAAACTTAACTAATAATTCATTAAAATAGATCATAGTTCATAAAAATTGATCATAGTTCACGAAAGGAACTCATAATTCATGAAAATAGCTCATAGTTCATAAAAATTGATCATCAAAATTTCTAGTAAGTCAAAAAAAATAACTAATAGTTCATAAAAATAGCTTATTAAAATTCTAGTTAGTTAGAAAAATAACTAATAGCTCATAGTTCATAAAAAAAACTCATAGTTCATGAAAAATAGCTCATTGTTCATAAAAATGGCTCATACTTCATAAAATAAACTCATAGTTTATAAAAAAAGCTTATTAAAATTTTAGTTAGTCAGAAAAATAACTAATAGCTCATAGTTCATAAAAAATAGCTCATTGTTCATAAAAATAGCTCATAGTTCATAAAATAAACTCATAGTTCATAAAAATTCTAATAAGTCAAAAAAATAACTAATAGTTCATAAAATAAATTCATATATTTTTAAAAATATAACTCATATTAGCTCATAAAAATTTTCTAAAGTTGATAAAAATTATAGTTTAAAAATCTAACTCATAATTCATAAAAAATTATCTACAATTCTGAAAAATCTAAATAATCTTTAGAAATTATAGTTCCTAAAATTCCTCCCAAAATTATTAATTATTATAACTAACCCCCTTCTTACGACCCCCAAAATCCCTCAGAGCAAACAATGTTATCATTTTCCAGATAAAAACCGAACCGGGTCAAACAATCTTGTTCGACAACATTAATCCCCAAGCGTCTAAATAAACAAATGTCAATTAAACAATTGTCCGTTTGTTACATAACAAAAAATAACAATAATTATCATTAACCTCCGATCTGAAATACTTAAAAAAAATTTCTTCCATCATAAATGACCCGCAAAACACATACACACACACACACACACACACACACACACACACATGTGTGCATGTGTGTGTGTGTATGTAAAATCCGTCGCCTTAGTGGCTAGCGTTCCGAGATTTGTCCTTGGACCGAAGGTAGGCTATCACACTCACATAGTTGCCGTGATATTACACTCGATCTGGCAACGGCGCCTGCCCTCCCCCACTTTCCCCTCTCTTAGATATCCCGACTGGTGACTGGCGAGTTCCGTTGGCTCGTGAGAGCGAGAGAGAGAGAGAGAGAGAGAGAGAGCGAGCCGGTTTTGCCAGACAGGGTGTCGCCAAGCAAGAGCTGGCAACTTGCGTTCATCGACGTGGGGGGAGGGGGTGGAAAGGGGGGGGGGAATAAACACATGGTGCGGATTGTGTTATGTTGAATACAAATGAGGAGCCAGTGTGAGTGAGAGTGGGGGCAAGTGAATGTAACTCAGCGGAGAGAGAGAGACCTACATAGCAATGGAGGTTTGTGTGTGTAATATCAGCCTACTCTGGAATGTCGTTCGAGGGTGTGTTGTGTGTGTGGAGGGGTGGGGAGGGGGCAGGGGGCACCCGGACGTAGGCGCCTATGTGCTAGTAAGCCGAACCTTTTTAGTGTTGGTAAATGGAATAGCAGACTTGTTGGCGCCCATATTGTCAGGTTTGTTCTCCTTTGTAGAGGTTTTGAGGTTTAGGGCCCGAGGAGGGGGAACGTGTGTGTGCCTCAGGGGGTTTTAGGAATTTTTTAGGAGCGTCTAAATGTTCGGGAAATTTTTTTATTGGAGATTTAGATAAGAAAATAATCCAGAATTTTAAAATTATCCAAATAAAGTCTTAAAATCCCTCATAGAAAGAGTTTTTACCTCAAAATTTGTAAAATTATTTGATAAAATCCCCCATAAAAATTTCAAAATGCCCCATAAAAATTTTAAGTCTTAAAATGCCTCATAAAAACTTTTTTTTACCTCAAAATGAGTCAAATTATTTGATAAAATGCCCCATAAAAATTTCAAAATGGCCCATAAGAATTCTCAAAATAATCCAGAATCACAAAATTATCCAAATAGTCTTAAAATGACTCATAAGAATTTTTTTTACCTCAAAATGAGTAAAATTATTTGATAAAATACCGTATAAAAATTTCAAAATGCCCCATAAAAATTTTAAGTCTTAAAATGCCTTATAAAAACTTTTTTTACCTCAAAATAAGTCAAATTATTTGATAAAATGACCCATAAAAATTTCAAAATGACCCATAAGAATTCTCAAAATAATCCAGAATCAAATAAAGTTTTAAAATGCTTCATAAGAATTTTTTTTTACTCAAAGAATTATCTTTACCTCAAAATGCCTCATAAAAATTTCAAAATGCCTCATAAAAATTTCAAAATGACTCATAAGAATTTTAAAATGCTCCATAAAATTTATTTTCATTTAAATAATTTTTTTTTTGCTTAAAAATTTCAAAATGACACATAAAAATTCTCAAAATAATCCAGAATTTTAAAATTATCCAAATAAAGTCTTAAAATGCCTCATAAAAATTTTTTTTGATTCAAAGAATTATTTTTACCTCAAAATGTATAAAACTATTTGATAAAATGCCCCATAAAATTTTTAAAATGGTCCATAAAATTTATTTTCATTCAAATAATTTTTTTTTGCTTAAGAATTTCAAAATGACTCATAAAAATTTTCAAAATGACCCATAAGAATTCTCAAAATGCCCCATAAGAATTCTCAAAATAATCCAGAATCAAAAAATTGTTCAAATAAAGTCTTAAAATGCCTCATAAAAATTTTTTTAACTCAAAGAATTATTTTTATCTCAAAATGACTCATAAAAATTCTTAAAATGCCCCATAAAAATTTCAAAATGACTGATACAAATTTTAAAATGCTCCATGAAATTTATTTTGATTCAAAAATTTTCTATACTTAAAAATTCACAAAATGACTCATAAAAATTTTCAAAATGACCCATAAAAATTCTCAAAATTACTCATAAGTACTTAAAAATTTCAAAATGCCCCATAAAATTTTTTTACCTCAAAAAAAAAAATTAAAAATCTTGTCGCTTATATTTAGAAGCTCCTAATTGAAAATAATGCCGCGCAAACGAGTAATTTATTTAAAACCCTGGCTAAAATCCAACTTTCATGGCCAGCCTAGCCAATTTTTCCTCCTTCTCTTCTTTCACACCTCCCAGCCCTCTATTCTAACAATAAGAAAAGCTTACACGATAATAATAATAATAATATAGACAAGTTAAAATTTAATATCATCAATTGTCACGCGTTTGATGACGAACAATCAGATGATACACTAATAACAATAATAACAATAATAATAAATAAATATTTACTCACCTTTTATCTTATCGACTAATAACTGACGCAGTCTTCGTTTTCCGCTTACATATTATTCTCAGTAAAAATTAATTTTATTTTTACCTTGTGACTTGTTTTTCGGTTAACTCTAATATAACCAATCACAAGTATTATATGATTTATTTTTAATTGACCTTTCAAGTTAAATTTAAATTTAAATAAACCGCGGGAATTTTTAAATTATATTAAACCAAACTTTATTTTGATAAAAAAGAATTTTTTTATGTAAGCGTAGTTTAGGGTTAGGGTGTTATTTTGTTACTATTGTAGGGGATATTGATTATTTTATACATAATATAAAATATATGAATGAAATTGTGTATTTTATTGCAAAGTGATCGATATAGTCGTGGTTGATAAGTCAAGCATTTTTCCGCGGGAAATTTGAATTTTTGAAAAATTTTTTAGGAATTTTTTTTTTTCATAGGGAATTTTAGGAATTTTTTAGGAATTAAAAAACTTTTTGTTAAGAATTAAAAATATAAAAAATTTTTAAGGAATTAAAAAAAAATTTTTTTATAGGAAATTTTAGGAATTTTTTTCACAGGGAATTGTAGGAATTTTATAGGAAGTAAAAAAAAATTTTTTAAGAATTTAAAATGTGGAAAATTCCTAAGGAATTTCAGAAAAATTTTTTTCGTAGGAAATTTGAGGAAATTTTAGGAATCATAGGAAATTTTTGGAATTTTCTCATAAGGATTTTTAGGAATTTTTTTTCCGTAAAGAATTTTAGGAATTTCATAGGAAATTTTAGGAATTTTTTTCATAGGGAATTTTAGGAATTTTATACACGGAAAGAACAAGATGACACTGGATATCATCCCAGATTATACTCAGTGATATCTGTGGTGAAAAAAAATTACAGATAGTAGCTGAAAAAAATCCAGATTATACTGCGTGATATCTGGATTATACTCATTATAATCTGGATTATACTCATTATAATCTGGATTATACTCATTGTAATCTGAATTATACTAATTGTAATCTGGATTATATTAGCTACTATCTGAAATTTTTTATAGGGAATTTTAGGAGTTTTTTCTATTGGAAATTTTAGGAATTTTATAGGAAATTTTTTAGGAATTTTTAACACTTGTGATTAATTATAAAAATTTTTTAGGAAATTAGAATGTTACAAAAATTTTATTAGGAATGAAAAAAAATTTTTTTCTATATTACCACCATTTTATTGCTTAAAAATGTGTCATTGCATCATAATTATTATAATAATCTTAAATAAAAAATCGCTTAAAATTATTACATTAAAAAAAGAATGAAGTGTCTAAAAAAATTAAAAAAACATTTTTAATTTCTTTTAATTTTTTCGACTTATGAAAAATCTTATATGATTCTAATAATTAAAAAAAAAATTAGTTAGTAAAGCATGATAATGATTATTATTTAAATAATTAATTAATTAAAATTATAATTAAAAATTGGACGCTAGTCTTGATACGGGTTACAATTGTATAAAAAAAAAAATAATTAATTTTAAAAGGTCATTTTTTTTTGTTAAAAAAAAATAAATTTCTAAAATTAATCGAGGCATTGCAACCCAATCAGAAGTAGCGGCTCAGTCATTAGTTTATTGATTTTCTTGAAATAAGGGAGGGGACACAAGGACTGAAAATAGGGGCGAAGGTCACGGGAAGGGTGGGGGAAAAATTGGGCTTAAAGTCTAATGCATCATCTTGCGCGGCGACAACCACTTCTTCATGTAGTAGCAGAAGACCGTCGAGATGTAGAGGAGGACCAAAAGGGCGCAAGTCACTCCCAAGGCTAGGACCGATGTCTTCGTGGGGCATGGCTCGATTATTGTCACGGTTTTATCTGAAATGGTTGAGAAATAAGTATTTATGGGGTGATTTAGAAAAAAAATTAGAAATTTTAGCTCGATTTTAAGGTCAAAGACAATTTTTTTTGACCTTACAATTGGACAATTGGAACCTTATAGGTTAAATTGACCTCAAATTGGACAATTAGAACCTTTAAGTGATCAAATTCGACAAAAAAATCGATCAAAATTAACCTTCAAAGGTCTTTAATAAGTTTAAATTGACAATTTGACCTTCCAATTGGACAATTGGAACCTTTTTGATTTAAATTGACCTTCAAATTGGACAATTGGAACCTCTTACGGTCAAATTGACCTCAAATTGGACAATTTAAACCTTTAAATAATCAAATTTGATAAAAAAAATTGATCAAAATTGACCTTTAAAGGTCTTTAATAAGTTCAAATTGACCGTTTGACCATCCAATTGGATAATTGGGACCTTTTTTAAGTCAAATTGAACAATTGGAACCTTTAAGTAATGAAATTTGAGATAAAATTGATCAAAATTGACCTTTAAAGGTCTTTAATAAGTTCAAATTGACCATTTGACCGTCCAATTGGACAATTGAGATTTTTTTGAGTTAAATTGACCTTCCAATTGGACAATTTGTCTTTAAATTTGACAATATTACCTATTAAGTATACAATTGGTTAAAATTGACCTTTCAAGGTCTTTTCCAACTTAAAATTGGCCATTTGACCTCCCAATTGAACAATTGGGGCATTAAAACAGTCAAATTGGCCATAAACCTTAAATTGGACCATTTTGACCTTTAATTCGAGAATTTTGACATTTTATTTATTAATTTGACCTTTGAAGATTTAGTAAGCACTACAATTAACAATTTGACTTCCCAATTGGACAATTTAGACCTTTCACTGTCAAATTGGCCAATTTAATGATTGAGTTGAACAATTTTAACGTTCAATTGATCACAATTGACTTTGAATGGTTCTAAAGACCTTACTCCAAACATTTGGACCTTAAATCCGACCTTCTATAAACCCCAATAAGACAATTAAGATTTTACCAATTGTCCAATTGAGACCTTACCAATTTTTTTAATAAAAATACTTACCAGCATCATTGAAGTCAACACTGGCGTCACTCCTGAAGAACTCGGACTGTTTTTCATCCCCGAAATCAAGGACTAAAATTTCCTGCGACAAGGTCATGTCCTCTTCAGTAGAATTAGAGACACTCCTCCTCTTCCTCTTGCCCCAGGATTCCAATGATTCGTGGTCCCATTCGCAAATTGCCTGAAAAATCAAACTTCTATAAAATTCCGCCTTACCTTCCCCTTCGACCTTACAAATTTTCTCGGAAAAAAACTTACAGGCTCACAAGGTCCCAGACAGTACTTGACGTTGCACTGGAAAATGACTCCGTAAGACTCGGTGAACCTGAAGGCCTCGTATACTGACTGGAGGGCATTGCGGTCGGAGGTGAATGCGGGGAAAATTGATGTGTCTACAGGACATCTGCAAGGAAAATTCTAGTTAGCAAATTTGACTTTGAGATAATATCTAGAAAAATTATTTTGGGCCTTACCCTTCGTCGTCGATTATTTGGAAAGTACTTTTTGAGTCCTTGGCCATGGCTACACAACTCCTCGCGAAAATTCCGTAAGGCGCTGGAAGGAAAATAAAAAATTAATTTTGGGCCTTATGAAAAAATTTTGGGTCTTAATGAATATTTTGGGCCTTATAAATTTTTATTTGTTTTTAGGAACGGAATTTTTTTTGAAGTTTTGACAAGACCCAAAAATTTTGGGCCTTATGGCAAATTTTGGGACTTGCTGAATTTTTTGGGCCTTATGAATTTTATGTGGTTCAAAGGGCAAAAATTTTATGAGAATTGACAAGGCTCAAAATTTTGGGCCTTATGAGAAATTTTGGGGATTTATTAAATTTTTGGGCCTTATGGATTTTTATCTGTTTTTGGGACAAAATTTTTTTTGAAAATTTGACACGACTTAAAATTTTGGGCCTTATGTGAATTTTGAAGGTGATAGAAGGTTTTGGGCCGTATGAGGATTTTTTTGGGCCTTATACGATATTTTCGGGAAACTTACTGTCTTCAGGGATTTCAATACGGAAGGTCAACTTGTCTCCAATCCTGACAGTCTCGACCTCTCGAGCCCTCGAGTCCAGAATTCTGATCTTCGGCGCCGGGGCCTCAGGAGCGCTGGTGATGCTGATCATATCTGGGTCCTTGATTGGTATCATCCCGAAGGTAATGTTCTTGGAAGACATGTCGTAGGTGCACTTTACCCGGTAAATTTTGTCGGCTTTGGTCATTACCACCGAGTGGTGTTGAAGGACCACGGTGTTGGAGTAGACACCGGTCTGAAATCCGTCACGCTTTATTTCATACATGAAATAATTCCTCGTTAATTACAGTATTTACATATATATTTACTTAATATTAATGTAAATATTAACAGGGTTGTATGCCAAAATTTTCAAACAATTGGGTCAGTTGCAACTGTCTTAATGGTCCCAACTGTCCCAATTGTATTAATTGTCCCAATTGTGCTAACTGTCTCAACAGTCTCAATTAATTGTTTCAATCAACTTACAACACTCTGAGTATTACAATCCTGTCCTGACATTGTCAAGTCCAGTCTGAAGAGGTCGCTGTTGGCAACATCAATGTTACAAGTCTCTGACCTTCCCAGAGCGTAAATTCTTCCATTGAAAGGCTTGTTGGTCCTTACTTGAACTGCAATCTTGGTGTCCTTGCAGTCCACGGTCACTGAAATTGACATAAATTTATCAAATCCTGCCATTGCTTTGCTCAATTGAGCAATTAGACACTTGGACCAAGTAACTTACCATTGTAGCAGGTTCCAGTTTTATCACAATTGGCATTGGACCCATTTCTGAGAGAATAACTAGGATCCTCAGTAGGTTCAATATAAAGTGGAAGTTCAGTGCCCTTTTCGCAGAAATTTTCATAGTAAGTTCCAATTCTCTCTCCATTGTCAATCAGAGGTCGCTCGTAGTTCAAGTAAGTTGAAGGTCCATCTGGAAGAGAGTAGTGGTCCAAGTGGAACAACTGGCAGTTGTTACTGTCGCCTGTCGGAGGACCGCGGTAGAGGAAGGACCTGCAGAGGAAACTGGACTCGTTCTCGCAGGCGAGCTTGCAGGAAGCCTCGGTAGGGACCGCTAAGTCCTTATCAACGTAGTACTGGAGTCCAACATACTGGGCGATCTTGTCCTCTGCGACTCCGATCCTCGGAAGCTGGTAGACCTTTGAAGATTTGCAGGAGTCCTTTGGCTTCAAACACAAGTTCTCGAAGTAATCCACCCCCTGAGCATCCACGAACTGGACGAACTGCCCAGTTGACCGACGGTCTGCGTCTGACATCGCGCACTGCAGGGACATGTAGTTGTACTCTACTGATCTGCAGGTGAACCTTCTTTCGCTTAAGCACGAGGCAAGACATGCGTCCTTTGATGATGAGTAGATCACTGCGTTGTCCAGGCCTCGGATCATCTTGTTTGGCACTCGCTCGAAGGACCATAATCGTCGGCAGACATTGTCTGAAAAAGAAGGTTAAATAAAAATTAGAAAAAAAAAAAATTTTTTTTATCCAAAAAAATTTTTTTCAACTCGCTGTAGCTCCGAAACTAATTATTTAAATTATGACTTTGGGTAGTGTTTTAGAACGGAAATTTACTGGGCTATAAAATGAGCTTGAAATTATAAGAAAAAAAATTTTTCGTTTCTCCTATTAAACCAAAAAAATTTTTTTGAACTCGCTGTAACTCCAAAACTATTTATCTAAATTATGACTTTGGGTAGTGTTTTAGAACGGAAATTGACTGGGCTATAAAATGAGCTTAAAATTAAAAAAAAAATTTTTTTTCGTTTTCTATATTAAACCAAAAAAATTTTTTTCAACTCGCTGTAGCTCCGAAACTATTTATTCGATTTGAGACTTTGGGTAGTGTTTTAGAATAGAAATTTGCTGGGCTATAAGATAAAATTGTAAAAAAAAAATTTTTCTTTTTCAATTCTTTCCTAAGCTAGAATTTGGAAAATAATATTTTTAAAAATTTTTTCGGATATAAATAAATAATTTTTCAAAGTCACTAATTTGCAAATCGAAGAATTTTATGGAAAAATTAACGAATGTAAAAAAAGAAAAGAATAAAATATAATAGTTAAATATTTCCAAAGGTTTTTCTGGGTAGTAACTTAAATCTTCTGGTCTATTGATAAAAATCTCGGAAGGGCAAACAAAAGACGACTGGTACCTGCAGGTCCGGACTCTAAGAATTTGAAAGGCAGACCCCACGTGGGCCTTTTTAAAGGCGTTAAGTGAGTCCCTTTTCTAGCCGCGTAGATAATTTTGAAACAGGTTGTGACAGCTTTGCTGGTGCCTGACTTCTCATTCGTAATTCACTCCCCACTCTCTACTTCCGATGAAAATTTTACCCACCTCAAACCCTTCAGCCCTCACCGGGTGGTGGAAAATTTATCATTTTTTTCGGACATGTTTAAAAAATTATAGAATTTTTTCCCGGAAATTCCTTGACTATTTTTTAAATATCTTAAAAAAAATTTACTCACCAGATCTCAGTTGAAGCTTGGTCATGTAATATTTATTAACAGCTCGTTGAGGCTGAGCTTCGGGATTGGTCGCCGAAGTCTCATTGTGAAGTTCGCACATCGTGTTCTGGATCGGCGCCAGAGGGTTCACAACAAAGGAAAATGCAACTGCCTGGCAATCTACACGGTTTCTGCATCGCTCCTGACATTCGTATAAAGATAAGTTACGCGCCGTGTAGAATGTCGTCCCTCGATAGTCGTAGTTCGTTGATTTCTCGAACGTCGTTTTTACGGCTGAAATAACAATTTATTAGAAACTCCATTTTTTTTTATAAACGTAAACAATAACAATAATAATTTTTTACCTGGGCCTGCTATCGCCAAACTGAAGAGGGCTAGGAATGAAATTACGCTCAGTCGGTCCATCTAAAAAAAAAAAAAATTATTTTCTTAATTATTAATTAAAAAATTATTAATTAAAAAAATTTAGTTGGTTCAAAAATTTTGATTAGAAAAAAGTTATGACCTTCTAAAATCGGTGATACGAAAAACGGAAAAAATTATATTGGAAATTCCTTTACTACCTGCTCTAGGTTCATTATCGACGCCCAGCTGTTACCCTTGGCAGTCTATATACCCACTATCGATAACATAGATTTCTTTTTTTTCGCCAAAAAATATTGTAGAAAATATGAATAGCATGGTATGAAAGAAAAGAACCATAATTAAAGCATTTATATAATCTATACTTGTATTAATATCTTTACGATCCAGTGAGCAATTACGATCCCGTTGGAGCTCATCATCTCCCGGATCTAGCGATTAGATACCTAACGGTCCCCTATGAAGCTCATACGATCTTTTTTATATAAAAAAAGACAAATTTTTTATCAGAATAAAATTATAATATAAATCGAGCCAAGAGTCAGTCATAAATCTAAGTAATTAATGATTACTTCTTACCGAGCAGGTACTAGCCTAGGGTTCAATGACCCGGGCCCTTGAATTCACAGGAAGAGAACTCACTCATGCAAATACAACATTCTTGAGACATTTTTAACTTAACAGCCTCGTCATTTCCTTGTTTCGCCTCTTTTTGTCTCCTAACAACCTCACTAGCTCACGGTAGCTCGGCTCCTAATTAAGGAAAAACAATCTCGGGGGGTTTCGGCTCGAGAATTTCCCAAAGCTTACAAAAGAGAGACCGTAAATTTGTTTTAGAGTTTTTAAATTAATTATTTTTTTTTTTTTTTTTAGTTTAAGTGTTACGTGGCACTTTCACCATGGGGTGGCGCTAGGGGTACGGTGACTGAATCGTTTCAAGGCCAAGAGGTAAGTGGCCCCTAGCAGGTACTGTACCTTCACCTCTATCTCAATCGTTCGAAACAATTTCGTTCCTCGTAAGAGTAATATAACATAACATAATACGTTTTACATAATAAAATAAAAATGGAAAATAACCTCTATTTATTTATATTCACTACAAGAATTCTCAAACGATTTTCCGAGTTATGAACATGAATTCTTACCGGGAATAATAACACGCTTATTTTTATGGGATATTTTATTCAAAGGTGTGAATTATTACTCTGTCCATTTTACCCCTATGAAAAATTTTTTTGACCATTTTATCTTATAGCCCAGCTTATTGCCATTCCAAAACACTACCCAAAGTCATAATTTAAATTAATAGTTTCGGAGCTACAGCGAGTTAAAAAAAATTTTTTTACATTTATACAGAAAACGAAAAAAAAATTTTTTTTTAATTTTAAGCTCATCTTATAGCCCAGCTTATTTCCGTTCTAAAACACTACCCAAAGTTATAATTTAAATAATTAGTTTCGGAGTTACAGCGATTTGAAAAAAATTTTTTTGGTTTAAAAAAAAAATATTTTTTTTTGTAAATATTTTTACAACTCTATGCACTAGATCAGTAAATTTCCGGTCTAATTAATCCCTAGTATATTTTCCATCTTCTAAATTTCGAGATGTAACGAATTGAACAAAATTAAATTTTTGGTAACGGAATTTAGTGACCCGGTGACCAGTTGGTGAATTTAACCTCTAAAAATGAAACAATGAGATAAAATTTTAACGGTTACTGTAATATACAATTGTTTTTTATCGTGTATAAATGCCAGTCATTATGTGTTAGCGTAACAATGAGGCATAAAAAGATACGTGAGAAGAATGCAAGCTTGCTTTTAAAATATTTTATTACATTAGTTATATTTTTAATGTTTTTTAACTCTGTAGGTATCCAGAGCAGGATTTTTTAATGGACGAATAGGTTCAAGATAGAATGGTTATAGTAAAGAGAAAGATCTCTCTACTCTGTGTATCAGAGAGTTTGTGGACCGCGCAACGGTAACTGGATATTGCGTTCCAACACCGTTACACTTATGACCAGATCTACCTTTTATGAAATAGTTCATATTTAATCATTTAAATAATAAATATTACGGCTTTTCTTTATTTTTATAAATTGCTCTGCTATCAAATTGACATGTAACGCAACCAACGGTGATTTTTCTCTTCGACCCCCCACGAAGTTAAGAATCCAATAATTCCATAAAAGACAACAATATCATCCTTGAAAGAAATATTGCAAAATTTTTTTTTAAACTTTCATAACTCGGGAACTAAATCTTTTAGAGCAACCGTTTAGCATTTTTTGAAAAGAGCAGATTCTTGGCTACAATTTCCACCCCTAATTTTATTTTCTACGCCAATTAAAATCCGAGATATCGCCGATCAAAATCTAGACTAGACCTATCAAGGTTTAAATTTTGAAATGCGTGGAAGTGATTTCCTAATTACGGCAAAATCAATTGCAATACGGATCGCAAAACCTCTTGGAGAGTAGTTTAGCCCCCCTTAAGCCGATTTTGGAACAATCGATTATTTTCGATATAAATCGGAATTTTCCAAATTTTCAATTCGAACGAATTGGAGGGTCCTATTCGGAGAACGCTGTAACTCCGAAGATAAATTTTTTAGACACTCGGGCCCAAATGCATTCTTTAGGTCGTTTTTCAAGCTACAATTTACACTCCTAATTTAATTTTTTGCGCATGCGCAAATCCAAGTTACGATTAGTTGAAAATAGAAGACCTTTTTTTTAGGATATCTTCTCGGCAAATTGAGACGCAAAAATCGTTCAAAGTGAATTTTAAAGCTTTATAGCGTTAAAGGGGTAAAATGGACCGATGAAATTGAGGTAGGCTGAGACGGTGGTTATGGTATTTGCGGGTAAATATTGTTATTATATGAAGACAATGTGTTTTTCTGCGTAACGGTGTCATATACTAGTGTATAACTCTTTTCTTGTTTAAACCGGAACCCACTACGAGGTAAGTTTAACCACTAAACCGTTGGTTTTTGTGTCATCGCTGAAATAGCAAATCATCATCTCACACAACGTTTATTATTATTAAATACCGTAAAACGGAATACCTCAACATTAACTTTGCACATCATTTATTTGTATAAATATTTCAATTATGAATTCGTAATATATTATCGATTTATTTTAAATTTTAAATTTTAAATTTACTATAACGGTGGTTAACGATAAATAACTCAAGAATATACACTGTAACAACTTCCGCATTTCAATTACCCGTGTATTTACAAACTTTTATCTCAAATAGTTTTCACTTAAACGTTTACGATTTTTAACGACCAATTCGCTATTTTTAAAAATTCATAGCATTTAAATTACCAAAATGGAGCCAAATAATTTTTTTTAAAAATAAGAAACTTATAGCTGGAATTTTTGTCCAAAATTTTTTTTTGTAAGTCTATAATTTTAGTGATAAAAATTTCTAAAAATGAATTATGGTAAATTTTGACCGAAAGAATTTTTTGAGCCTATAATTAAATTCCACCCCGTAAAAAATGAATGACTAATAAAAATAAATATCCAGTAGCAATAAAATACCCGCGTAATTTGCCAGCGTATAGGGGCCCATTAAACCTCAGGAAGTTTAATGCAAACATTGCCCATTAACCATCCACCATCAGGGAGATAATCGAGTTTAGAGGCTATAAAACCTCTAGATTATCTAAAACTTCCTGCATTTAAAGAACCCTGTGAAAATTCACATCCAAGCTATATTGTTCACCGTGAGATATTTGAATTAAATGCCTTAATATAATATAATACGTTACTCAATCTACTACAAGTTCTCGGTCAGGGTCCGATGTCGGTGATGTCCAGTAGAATGTTTGTAGAGGGTGGGGGAGCTAAGAAGCTAAGAGCTAACAACTTGGGACTTACGGAGTAAGGAGAGTGTGAGATGATCTCGGAGGGGGGTTACGGATAAGATACCAACGGTGGGGGAAGGGTTCAACGGCCTAATGGCGCCTAAGATCCTTTTGCAACCTGATACTTTAAGGCAGGTCGGGCAGTTTTATATCTTGCTCTTTGTATGGAAGGAAAATCGACTTATAGGGTTTTTTTTGGGGTGGTTCTTAAAATTCATTACTTGGGCCCTATGAAAAATTAAGGGCCCAATTAATTTTTTTTAGATTCTCCCAACCTTACTTTACAAATTTAATGAAAAAAATTTTTCAAAAAATTAATAATTTTTCCAAAAAAAATTATTTTGAACCTGCCCCTTCAAGGTTTTACACTAGTCCAATTTTAAAGTTACTTAACTTGGGCCCTATGAAAAATTAAGGGCCCAATTATTTTTTTTTAGATTCTAGTGACTATACTCTACAAATTTTATTATAAAAATTTTTCGAAAAAATTGATACTTTTTCCAAAAAAAATTATTTTGAACCTGCCCCTTCAAGGTTTTACACTAGTCCAATTTTGAAGTTACTTAACTTGGGCCCTATGGAAAATTAAGGGCCCAATTTTTTTTTTTAGATTCTAGTGACTTTACTCTACAAATTTTATTATAAAAATTTTTCAAAAAAATTGATACATTTTCCAAAAAAAATTATTTTGAACCTGCCTCAACAACATTTTACACTAATCCAATTTCAGAGGTACATAACTTGGGCCCTATGAATAATTTAAGTCCGAAATATTTTTTTTTGGATTCTACTAACCTTACACTCAAACTTTTGTCTTAAAAATTTTTCAAAAAAAACCAAAATCTTTTTCAGAAAAAATTATTTTGAACCAACCTTCTCAAGATTTTAAACTAGACCGATTTCAAAGCTGCATAGTTTGGGCCCTATGTAAAATTCAGGCCCCGGATATTTTTTTTTAGATTCTATAGACATTTCACTACAACTTTTGTTCAAAAAATTTTCCAAAAAAACCTATAGCTTTTCCATAAAAAATTATTTAGAACCAGCCCATCGAAATTTTAAACTAGACCGATTTTAAGGTTGCATAATTTGGGCCCTATGTAAAATTAAGGCCCCGGATATTTTTTTTTCAGATTCTATAGACATTGCACTACAACTT